ATGAGCACCGCAACCCTAGAGTCGGATTCGACTGGCTTTCGAGCAAGGGAACCTTTACCTTTACTTTAACCACCATTAAGCAGACTAAGCACGTGTTTAGGGCACCAGGGCCAAAGGGGGCAGGACAAAGTTGGGGAAAGGGTGAAAAGCTTAGTTTCTACAGTATATTGTGTTATCCTATGAACGCATTTTTGTATTGCTGTGTAATGTATCCATCTCAGACCGCGTGCCACCACGCGGTCAAGCGAAGCTGCCGACTCAGTAACAATGGGACAAGCGGATCCTAGCCGGCACCTATCGGCACTGGCTAGGCTCCGGCCGAGAGCCTATGGAACTCTCGGCCACTGTAAATAGCCAATCACTTGGGTGTGTTTCGGGGGTGGGGGGTTTATTTATTTATTTATTTATTCCATTTTTACCCCCGCCCTCCCCACAAGTGGGTTGTGCACATATAAACCAGACTGCGAGCTGGTTACCCTTGTCTTGTTCTCAGCTGAAATAAAGTACGAGAACTGAAATCACTTGTAAGTCTCAGTACTTTTCATGCTGCAACCAATGCTCCCTCTAAGCTGTGGAGTCCTGTGAGCAAAAATTCTATTTTGCGAGCTACTGTGATTGAAGTCGTGAGCAAGCAATCTGGCTACTGCATAAATTAGTTTTCTCTGGAGCCATCCTTCATGAGGCAAAAATGTGTGAGCCGGAGGCTAAAAAAATGTGAGCTAGCTCACACTAAGCTTAGAGGTTGCAACCTGCATTGTATATCTGGTCAGACAGTTCAACAACTAAAATGGACTGGGTCAGTGTGGAAAGGAGGGGGGCACCAAGATTGGTCAGTGTTTAGGGCACCAGTGAGCCTTAATCCGCCCCTGCTTTGGGGGGCCCTAAAGCCCCACCTGCCCGACTGTAATTTGATTTTTCCAGTGTAAATGTTTGCGGTTGCAGTGGGATGGCATCTGAAAAAAGTGGGCTTTGGTCTAGGACAGTTTGTGTGTGTGTGTGTGTGTGTGTGTGTGTGTGTGTTGTGTGTGTGTGTGTGTGTGGTTGGTCTGAAGCAGCAGAACAATGTCTGAGTCCAGTGGCACCTTTAAGACCAACAAAGTTTAATTCTGGGTATAAGCTTTCGTGTGCAAAACACACTTCCTCAGATACACTGAAATGGAAGTCAACAACCATTACATATCTGTTTTAAGCGTAAATTTCTGTACCTTAGTTTTATGGTTATATTTATTACTTTAATTTGTGATTCTTTTAAATTTGTAATGGTCAGTGGCCATATACAAAATACAATATACAATAAACTATTGTTACCAATAAAGAATCTGAAGGGGGGGGGATTTGGTAGTTAAATGGCATTTGTATATACATATAAATTGTCCATGGCTAATTCCAAAATACGGGAAGAACAAAGTGAGTCCAGTGGCACCTTTAAGACCAACGGTGTTTAATTTGGGGTATAAGTTTTGTGTGTACCCACATAAAAGCTTATATGCAGAATTGAGCTTTGATGGTCTTAATGGTGCCACTGGACTCACTTTGTTCTTCCCGTATTTTGGAATTATCCGTGGACAATTTATATATATATACAAATGCCATTTAACTACCAAATGCCCCCCCCCCTTTCAGATTCTTTATTGGTAACAAACCACATCATGCTGATTTCCCTGTAATCACAAAAATAGGTATGCGAGAGCAACACCATACTATGAAATAGAATTATGCTGACTGTAATTTAATCTTGATAGTCAAACAGCACTCTTAAAGCAACAGGACCATTGACTGTTTCTGGAGAGTATTCATTTCTCAACAGATTCAGGGTGTATCATTTGCCTTTGTAATGCTGGTACTTTGCTAGTGCCTAATAATGCCTTACCAACAGGATTTAAAGTGTTTTGATTAACTCTAGCCTGAAGTTTTACTGGGACTTATCTTCCATCCTACTCCTGTCACTATCTTTTGGGCACTCCCACCTCCAGTCAGTTTGGTGTAGTGGTTAAGTGCGCAGACTCTAATCTGGGAGAACCGGGTTTGATTCCCCACTCCTCCACTTGCACCTGCTGGATGACCTTGGGCAAGCCATAGTTCTGGCACAGCTGTTCTTGAAAAAGAGCAGTTTCTGTCAGAGCTGTCTCAGCCCCACCTACCTCATAGGGTGTCTGTTGTGGGGAGGGGAAGGGAAAGGAGTTTGTAAGCTGCTCTGAGACTCCTTTGGGTAGTGAAGGGCAGGGTATAAATCCAATCTTTTCTTCTACTTCTTCTTCTTCATGCAAAGACATTAAGAATCGCTTAACCAACAGGGCTTTTACAAACCTTTCTAAAATAATGAACATGACACAATTTTTTGCGACATATTATTATTTATTTTTATTTATTTTGTTTATATTTAAATGTATATCCTGCCCTCCCCGCCATGGCGGGCTCAGGGTGGCTAACAACATATATATAAATACATACATTAAAATTCCAATATTTATACTAAAAACAACATTAGATTAAGATTACAATATAAATTAGATTTTATGGGCCAGTTTTCTCCAGCAGGATAGGTGCTACTTGTCCTTTTGCCCCTGAACATTTACCCAGATATGTTGCCAAATGGCAGCCTTTTAAAAATAGTTCTCAAGGCAGCTATAAGCAATTCATGTTCCTAGATAAGATTTGCAGGTAGTTGTCAAACAGTGGCAGCAAGATTGACACGTTGGCGTATAATTTACCCTGTTTAGCACCCCTTTAATGGTTTCAGACATTTTTAGTTCTCTGGGGTTGTTTCTCTCACTTAATATTAAAACATTTGCAATATCATCCTAAGCAAAGTTATAACTTTCTGAGCACATTGGATTTAAAAGTGGATTTAGAAGAAGTAGAAGAGATTGGATTTATACCCCGGCCCTTCACTACCTAAAGGCGTCTCAGAGTGGCTTTACAGTCTCTTTTCCCTTCCCTTCCCCACAACAGACACCCTGTGAGGTAGGTGTGGCTGAGAGAGCTCTCCCAAGAACTGCCCTTGAGAGAACAGCTCTGAAGGAACTTGTAACTGACCCAAGGTCACACCAGCAGCTGCGAGTGGAGGAGTGGGGAATCAAACCCGGTTCTCCCAGATTGGAGTCCATGCTCCTAACCACTACACCAAACTGGGTCTCCAAGGGTGCAGCTCTGCTTAGGATGGCACTGTCACATTGATAAACTCATCCAAAGGGCTGCCTTTTGCTTCCTCCAGGTAATAATTCTGGCATCAATCCAGTTATACACATTCCCCTTCTTATTGATCCAGTCATGTTAGCCTGTAAACCTAAGGTCCCCATTACAGATCATGAGACTTACTTCTGAGTAGACCTGCTTAGGCTTGCTTCATCTGTTACAGCAAAAATAAACAGGAGTCTCGTGTTCCCTTGAAAATTAATGTTTCATATCAGCATAATCTTTTGTAGACTAGATCCCTCTTCTTCAGACGCTTCAAGTGATTCCTCCCTTTTGCATGAATTTCCCATATACACTGAATGCAAAGTAAGGATTCACTCATATAGGGCCACCATAATTTGAAAAGCCAAAAAGAGGACCTGTTTCCTGACTGACTACTTCAAACTAGTGACCACGATGACAAATCTCATTTTGAATACCCCTACTATTTCAGTTCAAAGTTTATTTCGATACAAGATCAGTAATAATAAGGATAAGGACAAAAATAATAAAAAATATAGAATAAAATATATGATTGAGTGCTGATTGTGAGGGGACAGAGACAGGGATTAGATTACTACTAATTAGATTGGTTGCTAATCTAATTAGTTGGTTGCTAATCTAATTAGGAGAGCCAGTTTGGTGTAGTGGTTAAGTGTGTGACGTCTAATCTGGGAGACCCGGGTTTGATTCCCCACTCCTCCACTTGCACCTGCTGATGTGACCTTGGGTCAGTCACAAGCTCTGGCACAGCTGTCCTTGAAAAAGAGCAGTTTGTGTCAGAGTTCTCTCAGCCCCACCCACCTCACAGGGTGTCTGTTATGGGGAGGGGAAGGGAAAGGAGTTTGTAAGCCGCTCTGAGACTCCAAGTGAAGGGCGGGGTATAAATCCAATCTCTTCTTCTTCTTCTAATCTAAATTGTGGTGATCTAATTAAGCTCCTCACTCCCCCTACCGAAAATTTCCTGGCTACAGGCCTGTTTGGAGATCTAAGGGATCTAAAATAATCTGCTGGTTGGAAGCATTTGGTATGCTGCAGAATAATTGGATATTTCTGTATCTGTGCCCTAATTGAATGTAGGGTGTGATCCCAGAGCCACTGTTTA